TCTCCATTTTGTTAGCTAATACCATCTTGTCAACTTTAGTATATTCTTTACCATTTGTTTGTAATACTTAAATAACTCGAGTTTTGGCTGGTTGGCTTGAATGATCAATTTTCAAACAAGTAGTCGAAATTTAAAATCCTCATGCAATTACCGCTGTTTGGATCGTCGCGTAATACTACTGTTCATTATTCAATAGATTTGGATGATAATCTGTTTTACAAACTAGTTATTAAGTCGTATTAGACTGCACCAAGTGCTCTAACTCGTAATAACACTACTTTTGGTTCTAAAAGTATTTGCCATAGTTAATGATATCAGTTGTGCAATTAAAACCTATTTCATCCTTACTTGGGGTTTCCCGCAAATACCTATTCGGATCTCTAAAAATGACCCATGTTATGTTTTATGGCCACTGACTAATATCACATGACAAAACCACTAATCAGAATCCTGATTCATATAATTTAGTATCTGAGTTGATCAAATACACGTCCAATCAGTACTAGTAACTTTGGGTCAACTGTTAGATCCTTACTGGTTCACCACTCTGTAGTTCTCTCTCTGCCCTGCCCATGAGTTCAGAAGTTGGTAACCAGCCTCCACTATGTTATATTTCAACAAGACGTAGTTTTTATATAAATATACCAGACATCACATCAAGAAATAACAATTATGCATAATCAAGCCAAGGAATGGCTATGAATAGGAAAGGCAGTAAATAACAAACTGGCAACAGATAAGAATGGTAAATCGTATAAACAACAATTATACAATAAGATTGTATATAACAATAGTCCGTGAATTAGTTCTAGAAGTTGATATCCCTTCAGTTTCCGTTAGGACATGACTCCAAATTATCGCTTACACGTTTTCTAGTTTTTTAAGCAATTGAATATAAAAAACATGTGGTCTTGTTTACCTTACATTCATAAAGTCATTTTTCGGTAGATGAGTTGAATTATTCTTTATGGTAAGTGACAACAGATTTTTTTCAAACCAGTGGATATGATTAGTTTTTATTCACACTACTCATTCATATGCATTTTACCTTCTGGATTTGATAAACGGAAATCATTTTCAAGAGGCATTACATAATTAACGATAAAACTCACCAGAAAAACTAAGTAAATCTAATAATAGAGCAGTAATTTTTTTATCTAAACACAATTAAATACAACTACATTTTTTACCATGTACATTATTTTGATTCATTCGTGATTTTTATGCAATCTAGGTCGACATACTTCAAAAGTTTTCGAACGCAGAGTTCTTGATTCCAGTGATCTGTTGTATGAATGAACAGATCCAGGAATTGTGAATGATTTATACGACTGATTAAGTGTAAATATTCTAGTGTGCCAATTTGACTGAGCTATAATATGTTGTAGCAGAAACAGCAGCGTTGAACTGGTAATTTTGTATGACTACGACCCAATTTATGATTCAAATATGGTTCTTACCTTCGTGTTTATTCACTAATTGATGATGTTCCAGATGTAGTTCTTTTAAAACTTATTTCTCTAAATGAGTCTTTTCATTTCATTTATTCTAAGTTGGACGGCTTTTGTTTAGGCTTTGACCATACTGACTAGCAGTCGTTATTTGTCTGTTGAATTAAAGTAATGTTATCTAATTTATTGTTGGGACTTCAGTTACATTTCATTATTGGTGTAGGTCACTACCTAACGAATGTCGCTTTTTGGGTATTTCAATTTCTCATTTTCATATCTAGAAGTATAGAAGTGCATATAAAGCAATTACAGTAACTAGTCCTGTTTGAAAAGAAAACAAGATTTACATTCTATTGTTACTGACTAAGGTGTACCTTATTAAATTGAATTAATTCTAGTCAATAGTCAATCATTATTGTCGTCGTAAATTTATGTTACGTAAATGGTTGTAAGTTATAAGATGGAATTTCAAAAACACGTACATCCATATTTCCTGATTAATTCTGAAGTGCTTAAAAAAATTCAAGTATATATGTTAATCTTTACTTAGGCAGTTCTTAGCATTTAGATTTTAACGTAGCTGTTTAGACCTATGAACAATCCATGACCATCCTTGCGCTAAGCGTCATACTTATTTCAATGTATTGGAATAATTTATATGCCGACTTTTTTAGTAACCTATTCATTTCAATTCCATAATTTCTCTAATATATGGATGGAAGATTATATTTTTAAGATGAGGTTGCGTTGCATCCAAATAAGTTGATTTTTTCCTTGCATAATCATAACTACAACGGGCAAACGCAAAACAGTATTAGTTAATTTTTGATTTTTTCCTTGATTAATTATTTATTATCTAACATTTCGTCGTATCATAGGTGGATATTTTAGTATGCAAATAAGCTTTAATTCCTGAATTTTTTCAATCATTTCGTTCTGTCTTCATGCATCATTTCAGATATCACAGTTAATTAATTTTATCTGTTATATCACCTGTACTCCTAAACACTTGCTGCCATAAGCGATGTGAACAATTCATTGTGGTAGTGTAATTAATAAGCAGGTATACAATAATAGGATAAATTTTGTATTTCCCACCACCATAATTTTGCCCATTGTGGCGCTGTTTAATGCGTTGTGTAGAAAGTGATTCCTATCAGCAGTATGTTGTTTTAGTCAGGAATACTTTTAACATATATTGTTTCGGAATCACCCGTCTATTTAGTAAAATGATTGTTTCTTTTTGCTGGATTTTTATTATGGTATCAATAGTTCAGAAAGTATTCTGAATACTCATATTTTAGGTAATCGAAGGAGCTGGACATCAAGTGTATGCGCAGATGTCTGAAGAATTCAATGCTTATGTAAATATGATTGGACAACGCGTTGACAATGGTGACTCATTTACTCCGGGAGTTTATAATCCAAATCCAGACTCTAAAAGACCAATATTCGTTAATGGAACAAATAAAACCAATGAAAATATAGAATTCCGTGGTAACAACCATTCGACAAAAGGACACAATGGCCGGATTCGGCATAAGCGCACGTCATGTTCATCACTTCAGGGAGATACTTCACTGCTAGCTCAATCTAATCGTTATATTCAAAGCAGTAAGCATGTTTTTCCTAATGAAGAAGCAAGTGACGAATCATCCGATTAATTTTCTCCACTCAATGAAGCCTAATTTCGCCATCAATTATGTAATTTCTTGTCACATTAAGGTTTGTGACCTGAATTTTATGAAACTAATGTATTTAAAGTACTCATGACATAAAATACGAAAACAGCAATACAATTCTCATAATTGTTTCAGTCTTTCTAGTTCAAATACACTATCAAGAGACCATAACATTTAGTGTTTTTATCTTCCAGTCTCATCACTGCTCTCCTCATTTTATGTTTTTACTTTTGATTTCTTTCATTTGATTAAAATTCAGCTCTTACTTTTTTCCCATATAACTGATTCTGTTAACCTAATCAGTTTGACAGGTGAAATTTGCTGCTCGATAATAATAATAATCATAAGATAAACAAGACTCACAAACATTTGTTTAATTTAGGTACCTATAAAATAATTTGTGATAAAAAGAAGGTTGATTCTGAATAATCGTTCTCTTTTGTTCAGAATTAGTATTTTACAGAGTGTAAATTATTTCTCTAAGTCCCCCCTTTCTCTGATTGGTTGAATCAAAAAGTTTCTACGTCATTAATAACGATTACCCAGAAAAATTCATTTCTCATTTATTTAGTTATTATTTTCTACGGTACTTTTACTTTTTACTCACAATTTATTTTCCTCCTTATGTATTTTTATGATTTGATAACTATTTTTTAATTTGATTGCTAATGCAATAATTAATTATATCGTTGATGCTTAACAGCTTTTCTTTGTTCTGATGTGTTGGCCTTCAGAATTGTGATTCAGAGCCATACAGGATGAGTTTCTAAGCATCTATCAATTCTGTAAACGCCACTGAAATCCACCGATTTTTCTTAACCCTTTGGTTTAGGTTACTAGTAGGTATCACTCCTTTTTGGATATCACATCAAGCTACATCGGGGTGGATACCACTTTCACGGTTGGACAGCTCCTTCTCTAAGGGGTTTTCTTCTTGACTTTTCTACGTCCAGTGAGATACAGACAAATACGTACTCAAACTAAAGCATGATCCGAGTCTAAACATGTGCTCCAGAATGAGACTTCAATCAAGCCACTGCAACGATGGCAATGTGATCTATTTGAGTAGATTGCGGATGTCGCCACGTCAAACGACTATTCTTCTGATTAAAGTTGGTGTTTGCCAGAATTAAATGGAAGAGACGGTGCCATTATCTGTTCTCTGAACCGCAACACCGTAAAATCCGCTCAAATGTCTTTCGGTTTGGTTGAGTCTACTTACCTGAGCACTAAAATCACCTGCCATTGTTGCTAAGTCAGAGTGTTTAGCTCTTTGAGGAAGCTTGGTTAGCTTCCCACAATTATCCGAGCTGCAATCAGTGGAAGGGTAGGCAGAGACAACGAAAAGGCAACGTCGTGTGACCTTATCATCTCGAGTTCGTACTGTACTGTTTAGTCGAACAGAGCACAAGCGATTACCTATTGAAATCCAGTCTAACAAAGCCTGTTCTACTTTAGAACTTAACGCTATACCTGCACCAACGAAACCCCGGAAGTAGCAATGGGTCTCCAGATGCTGAAAGAGTAAGTTGTGTCGACAAGATGAAGTCAAATGAATGACCGTACTTGGATCCTCTATGCGCGTTACGGAGATGCAGCATACATCGATGGCGCGAGATTCAACAGTCCTAACTGAAGAAAACTGTTCTCCAATTTCACACAAGGTTCGAACATTAAAAGCTCCAATATATAGTTTGGAGCGTGGTTTCAGGAAACCAGGAATAAAAATTCGTGAACTCAAATCATTGGCATAGGTGGCGTGCGGTGACAAAGATCTTTCCTAACCTCTTCCTTCCAATATGAAAAGCCAGCATAGCCACGCCGCAGATGCTGATTGTTCGAGGGAGATATCTTACTCTTGTCGCACCTCTCTACTCTCAGCAGTACGACTTGGCCCTCGGACCCTAAGTAGTTACTTTTAGTCTTAACGTTCTTCAACCGACCTACCCGGCATGGTAGAACCTAAAGAAATATGCGTTTCAGCCAATATAGCCCAGTTGAGTCATCAAAATAGGCAAACCCAACACTACGCCACGATAACAGCTACGGTCGGACACATTACATGCATTCCAGAAAAAAGAACAGCCACGTCACTGAACTAGAACCTTTAATTTAGAATTTATTTCAGTAAAGCCATACCTTACAAATTCTACCATAAGTTTTTCAACTTAGAAAGATTCATAAGGTCGACAAATTTTCCGTACAAATGATTACTGGACTTTTTCGACACAAACGGAGAGACAGTAGCAGAAATATTGACGACTCTTAAGAGTATGAACTGCTCCTGATAGCGTACCTGGCACTCAGCTAGTAAAGAAGTGAACTCAATGGTTGAAGTAAAGTTGGTTTTCAACAAATTACGTGCCTGATTACTGAATGGGACCAGATAGTTAGCCTATAGAGATACGTAAAAGTAATAAAACGACTTTGTAAGCGATTTCAGCATTATTTACTTCAATGGTGATACCATTAGGAAAGTTTTTCCCTACAAACGTTAGGAAAGCTCTTCCACCATCTCGATCCATTATATTTAGTTGATGAAGCTTAACATCCAGACCCTTGTTACTAAGCTTCTTCACGGCTTCCTGACCAAGTTCAAGACTGCGAGCTGCTAAACTATTAGTTGATAAGTGATCACCTGTTAGAAACACATCCCATTCTTCCGAGGGGCAGTATAATTTCAAAAGTTTATTGACGATACTGAATTTGATACCTTTATTTGATCTAGTTACAAATGCCCCAATAATCGCACTGATGCACAAATATATATAAAAACCGTTAAGAACAAGAACAAGTTGGAAAACCTTCGGTACGATCCATTTTTATTACGTTGGGGAGTGTAAAAAGACCATAAGCGGATAACTGTGTAACTTGGACCTCTCAACTTTTCACAGTCCCATTCAATCGGATAAACAAGTGACTGTCAACTGACATCTATTTTAAAGATGATGTTTCTATCTTTTAACTTGATGATGTATTTACACTCAACTAGACACAAGTAGTTGCTTCATGGTCTCCAGATACCTGAGGGGTGAAGCGTGTTAGTTAAGCAAATAATCCCACTCGAGTCTAATATGGAGTGTTCAGAGATACAGCATATACCTGTGGCACATAATTTCTGACTGACAACCCCAGCTATGTGATTTGACGTAGAGTTGAAACATGAAATTTTGAGCAACATTTCGGGGGAAAGGAGATAAAAGTTTGTAAGCTTAAACCATTGTCATTGGTTGCACATGCAGGAAAAGATCAAAGATTGGTAACAGAAACAAAATTTGCAGAGCGAAATAGATTGACAATGAATAGAATGGTGCTCGAAGTCTGCTGGTGATCGGAACTTTACGGATGCTCAGATGGCGGAAGGACATTTCCTTGTGGAAAACCTGACAAAAGGACTGGGCATTAATAACTGCATCGAATCAGGAAAGTGTCATTAGGCCCGAAAAGACAACTGCCTGAGCTTGGTCACAAGGGGATTTCTGGGGAAGGTTTCTTTTTAATTTTTAATATAATCTTAATAATCCTTACTCCCTATCGCCAGAACTAGGTAAAATTGCATGATATTTCTCTAGTCGTCTTTTCAGTTCCCTCTTCGGAAAGTGGAAACGTAGTGCCATCACAGATGTTCTGAGGATAAAAATGATCGTTGGTTCACCTGGATACAGTATGACTCCATAGATTCGAGGTTATCTCCAATTTTTATACTATTTAATTAACTCTATAGGGATGATATGACTTCAAATAACAAATGATTCAGCTGAAATACCTTGACTTGTTTGCGGGCTCAAGTTGGTATTTACATTTCTGACAAGTACTTTTCTATTTCGTAGCTGTTATCAATTAATATTTAGATTAAATTATATGATAATAGATGAATATAAAGACCGAGAACCATCGTGAAAATATTAAAATACGATCATTTAAAAGTAACAATATAACTTGATATCAGCTCTTACCAGCATATCAACGATGAGAGAATGTTCTCTTGAATAGAAAGTTCTAACGATCGACCGAACTAGTTTTATTAGACATATGGGTACTTTAGCTGAATCTTTCTGATTCGATGTAGCGTCAGCTGTCTGGCGAACGGAACTAGCTGACGGAAGTCTTACTGCAGCAGGCGATGAGTCTGGGACTATGTTTTTAGCACCATTAGGAGTTGGAACAGAAGAATTGATGACTGTTGACATTTACAGTAATCCTGTGTAAAATCAAGGGATTCTGAGGCATAAGAACAGATCATTAGGTATTTTGTAAACATTACAATATACTGTTACTGAATTCTCATAAGACTAGAAATAAGATATTCGGGACTTAGCTTTATGAACGGAATAAGTTACAGGGATGGGTGAATTGTTTTCGTATTTTTCAGTACGAATCTGGTCATAATAGAATAATATCACAGCGGAATTTTCACACGTTTCCCTGCACAAATAATGAAAGTGAAAAATATCACACAAGTTTCATCACCAAAAAATAAAAGTGTGAAGGAACAATGACGTCTCAGTATAAACGAACAGATAGAGACGGCTGCTTAGAAACACGATCTTCGTTTTGACACTTATGGAGTTTCTTGTTCCCTATCATAACAAGCTTTACGCTAACTACTACAAAGGATTTACCTGGTATTCTCGACCCTCCCTCTCGAAATACTCTCACAAGGCCACGCGTATACAGCTACTGCCAGGGAAGTCCTATTCACTGCCTTCTTGTGGTAGGGGTGTTGCTTACGAAAATGAGAGGACGAAAAGCGTATGTCCGGCGCTTTGACCGGATCCAAACCAATGGTGCACATGGGCTCCATTATCCTGAGGGAACAAATGGCGTATAAACCAATCGTTGGTCAGCGGCTACCATGGGACTGCATCTCCTCACGGTGCTCCACTGCTTCGTGGGTCAGACCTTTAGGTCGGAGGTTACGGGTGTAACCCTCTAAGAAAACCACCTGCTTCGGTTTGAGCACCCGGGCAGTATCACAGCCCACACACAAATAAAATGAAAATGACGACAACACGTAAGTATACGTATCGAGTTAGCGAAAACTCGCCTTATCTTTGTTAACGAACACCATTCACTAACGTATCACAGCACTGAACATGGTTCTAGAAATCAAACAACTCAATGGTTTTAAGGGCTATCTTAGGACTGAAGTCAGTCAGGACTCTGGAATCAATCAGTCAGCAACAGCGTAAGACCAAGCATATATATGCATCAGTCCAAATTACCACACCTCATTAGCACAACAAGCTGAACACCAAATCCGTGGAAGTAGTTACTATGAAATAGTGATATGAACTACTGAAAACAAGAACAGAGAAGGGACTCCTTTCTTGAGATTTTTACAGCAAAATTATCCAATTCCAGAGCTTTTCCTGTGTACTAATGAAATAGATAACATAGCTTTCAAACCACATTTACACCAAATCCTAACTCTGACATTCGACTGCAGTGACTAGTGCAATTACCACATGTTGACGACATTAGTTGTAATACTGCTTAGGGATTTGTCCGTTTTGTCTATCCACTGAGAAAATAACAAAAGTAACAACAAGTCTCGGAGTGATTTTTTAGTATACTCCGTTATCTTTGACTCTTAGTATTAGCAACTGATATCTTTTTATTGTAGTAACTTCATTCTTTGTACCTAAACTCCATAGCAGTTGCAACAAGAGCAAATAGCTCAGCCAATTCTGACTGACCGTCTCATAAACGGCTCTATTTGGTCTCTCTCTCTCTCTCTTTCTCTCTACACACACATCTGTTCAGTGTACGACTCCGAAGACGGATAGATTATGATAACGTTCGACTAATGTTAGTGACATTTAATAACAAAGGATACTTTATACACATGAAATACAACAACGCCTCTTATTTGGCCTAAGCAATATCACAAAATCTTAACAAATCCACAAGACATATAGAAATATTCGGAACTTAGGACACGCACTGTGTGAATATTTATTAAATACCAGGGTAAACATCAGCACTGTGATCCGTCTAAGCCTGTGGCGGTTCGTGTAGCCAGAAGGTACTATGTGTACTAAAACAGCACGTAGAGTAGCGTGAGTGAGGAGGGCTGGAAAAGAGAACAAAAAGGTGAGTCGACGACCAAGCAAACGCACATAATGTACTTACATTTAGTAATGAAAGCAATCAAAAACAATTAGCAATGACAAAAACATCAGATTAAGACTATCTTGGAATCAAGAGCAGAAGATTATGAACTCGCTACATGGTCAGACTTTCACAAATACCGCGCAAAGCTAAGCTAATTCAAGCCGAAAGTGCAACGCACAGCTTTAAAGCTGTCACTGGTACTATGACTCAATTAACAAGCGAATAAGTGCATGGTTTTAGATGTTTGTGAAATGACAGGACGTTTCGCATTGAATGGGCTTTCCTGTTCACGAATGAATCATCACCATCACATTTAAATATAAAACTGGATGCATAAAAATATAGAAATAAAAAAGACGCTTCAGCGGTAAGCCAAGTAGTCGTGTTAACGTAGACCTTTGATACAAATCCGGCCTTCGAACACTTTTTCATTACGGGAAATTGTTATAATATGCTTTTTGAGGTGTTTTTGGATTTCGGGAGATCCGTTGCATTAGACCGAACATGTCACTAAATTTTAACAGTCTCACAGTTCTGCTTTGTTTGTATTCGCTAGGACTGTTTGGGTATATTCCGGACTTTTACTTTCACTGTCAATTTAAACGCTTCATACGTCTGGACAGAGTTTGCCTTATGTGAACTGTTACAGTAACATTCTACATAGCAGTAGATAGTGTTCCTAAATGCATATACAATTGTGACTAATATATTGCGATTTAACTAGACTATCATTTATTCGCCAAAAATAACCAAAATAGACTTCGTAGCTATTTTCAAACTGCGCGATTGTAGAGGACACAGAAGAATGTATACGTTCTTTGGTCCAAAAACGCTTTCCTTTCGACTTTTTGCCAAGTGTTGTGCATTATTTCAATGTCTGCTTGCCATTCCCGGTGTAATGTGTTCTATGGTCTGCCTCTTCTCCTCTTGCCGTGAGGATTTCAAATTAGGACGTACTTTGTGATGCGGTTTAATACTTTCCACAATGTTGTGACCTATCCACCTCCAACATCTTTTTCTAACTTTTTCTTTGGTCGGAAGCTAGTTTGTTCTCTGACACAGTAGGTTGTTGCTGATGGTATCTAGCCAACGGTTCTTGAGTGTCTCGCAAATTACGCAACTCGCTGTTTAACGAAAGTACATACATTGTTCCAGCTGTGATTCCCTTAATAGATACTGCTTCTGGTTAACATGTAAAACCAATCTAAACAGGTTTTAAGACAAAAGTATTTCTCCCTCCAAAGAGATGCAGTTCAAGACGTCCAGAAACTAGTGTTATTGGTTATATTCCGTTGTAGTTTTATGGTTTACCATGGTATTAGCATTGCTCTAATAATAGACATAATCCATAAATTGTAGATTTGTCATGATGCAACTGCCTAATCTATAAGATCTTACATGGAAGTCACATTATTATCTACATCACCTCATCGCATCGTAACAATTACCAATGCATGATGGAGAACAAGCTTAGGCTAGAGACAGAATAATGTATTTAATATGAATAAAAGATATAACATTTAGCAGGGACCACGCCTGAATGGCCGAGCCATGCCATACGATGAACTCCAATTTCTTATCCCCACCTTCTCCATTGTTGGGTATTCCTCCGCGTTAAATATTGAATATCTATTTTCCGAGTAGTCTCGTGTTCAGCTTTGAAAATTGTGTGATTATGATCCGATGCCACTACACTACTCTCTCACCAGAATCAACGTAATGTTGGTTTGATACCAAATTGCATGGGATTGTCGCGCGCCAGAGCTTGCCAAGAATGATAAGAATCCACCGGGTATTGGTAAGCTGGAAGATAAATCAAAAAGGTGGCAGAACCTGGTCGGGAAATACATATATAAATTTTAAAACGTCTGGTTGAATGCCTAACACGCTTAGAATGAAAATTTAGGTAAAGATTATTTGAGCTAAACAAAGTGGGATTATAATAATAAAATGATTCAGTATAAGTATATTTTAATAAAGTGCCGTAAGATACGTAGTGATATTCGTAGGTTAATAACATTTTCTGTTTAGGAATATTAAAAACAGTCAATATTGTAGAAATGCTAAAAGTGGTATTATATTTGGTCTAAATTATGAAATCAAATAACGTATGTGCCGGTAAGTTGTCCATGCGTTGATTTCCAATTGCATCTGTATTAGTAGGCTAACTGAAAGAACAAAAGTATAAGCGCGGAGAAGAATTCCAACTAGTGTTCCAGTTAGTTTGATACGGTTTATTTAGATATGGGGAGGTTTTCTCGACCTCATTTTTACTTGACCATGATAGAATTTAGTAATACAACTAATACATATGAATTGTTATCAAAAATTTTTAAATACGTGAAAAGTAATAATTATGTGGATTTTGGACAGATAGATAAGAGCAATTCGTTAAACATGAGTGTATCCTTTAGAGATATGCTCTAGACCCAATGTTCTGATTTACCATAGACTATTTATTTATATTCATACCTATCGGCTGATGGTACATACAAGTTAGTTGCAAGTGCCAGTTTAGCATAAGACGGAATGCTACTTCATTGAGATATAGTGATTATAAGTTATTGAAATCAGTTACGCCTATGTGCCACATTTTTAGGTGATGTGGTGCTGCAAGATGTATTCATCTAAATAAGTTTTTGCAAGATAATTAACAGTGAGTGATGTTTATGTGACTATCAGGGAGAACATAAGTTGTAACCAAGGGGAGTACACTCCAAACTCATGTCTATGATTATATTTTGAACCTTAGTCAGTGTTGGGGTAAATTCGACATTGATGTTTTCAGTTTGCAGGAGATTTGCTCGACTGCTTATACTGATTATTTGCATGCATGATTGTGTCGCTAAACCATCAATTAGACTGACAAGGTTTTGAGATATTTACTGAATGAGCAACTGATAGAGAAACATACTGTAATCATCTGTAGTGAATGAAGATAAAAGAAAAACAACACTAGTGATAATTATAAGTCAATTTGCTGACCGATTTTGTTAATAGTTTCATTAATTTTATCAATCATATTACGTGATTGTCAAGTCATGACAATGCTTTATGACGATATCCTGAAACTATTATGTTTAAACTAGTTATAGTGTTGATTGAGGATCAGCCGGTGGAAAAAAATAGGTATTGTTGCTTCAGGTGATTTGAAATTATCAGATATTTGTAGCGTTGAAGAAACCGAGCCGCCTAGTTATATTATAATTTTCAATTCAAGAATATACATCTAGTGTTAATTTTAGTAATAGGTTCCGGAGTTTTAATTTTAAATGTTTGTTTAGCCAACAACTACCTGATAGTTTAGCTATCATACTAAGGCAGTATGCTAGTAATTAAATTTGTAACTTTATTATCTAAACTATGTCTTTTTATGTTACTAATATGGTAGACCGATTTACAAACCCAAGTACGTATAGCGAGAATGACTATAATGGGTTTGTTGGGAAATGCTAAAGGCGATTTTAATGACTTTCGAATTCAAAAAGCATGGAGGTATAATGCAACGCATTTACGGGGTAGTTTAACATGCAGGTTATTGATGTATATGACAAACATTTCCAGAAAAATAATTTTAAAGTTAAGACTGCTTATGAAACTTCAGGCAGGATTATGATGCGTTATAAACTTCTCATAAGAGGTTCCTGTATTTAGCATAGTGGCACTTACAAATATGCAGCAAAAGCAACTGGAAAATATATAATGTTAAGTACAAAAAAAACATCCAGTAAAATAGTTAAGCTCACCTGGGTTATTTTTGAAAATTAGATTATTCAGTAGACGACATATTTAACACCATTCGTGAGTAGTATTGATTAAATGCATCCAAAATAAAACATGCACTGTGGCGGTTAATTCCAGGGTGCTTGGTACCGCTGATGTTTTTATCACTCGCTCAAATCAGTACGATTGAATAAATCCATATAATTGTGTAGTTGTCATTGAACGAGCCATCGTATGTTTTTGTAGTAATGTCATCCTTGTTGTTTGGCACTTGAACTCGAGAATACGAAATTTGGCAGGCAGTGGTCGGAAGAAAAAGATATTACAGGATAGTGCATAGTCTAAAAACAGAATGTGTTAAGTGAAGGAACACTAAGAATTAGATCCAGATAACTATTTAGTCCTTGATTGCATGGATAGTGAATGTATATTGAGGTTATTTGCAGGTCATATTTGCTAGAGCTAGATGTTAAAACAGGTTTGTTTCGCTGAAGCATGTTAATGCTATTAAAGCTTGTTAACGAACCATCAAAGCTAATTAGTCAATGTAGATGACCAGTTTTTATTATTGATTGAGCTAGTAAGTTATGGGAACTAATCATATATAACATTACGATAAAATATGTGAACACTAATCAGAAGACTATAAGAATATTGGGTTTACATAAGTAAATATCGATCGAGAAGTACGGATTAACACTAAAAGAGGTTTCGTTTCTTTAGTCGGGCTCATAAATGTAGAATTATGGTCTGCTATGATATTAGCATTGCTCTAATAATAGACATAATCCATAAATTGTAGATTTGTTATGATGTAACTGCCTAATCTATAAGATCTTACATGGAAGTCACATTATTATCTACATCACCTCATCGCATCGTAACAATTACCAATGCATGATGGAGAACAAGCTTAGGCTAGAGACAGAATAATGTATTTAATATGAATAAAAGATATAACATTTAGCAGGGACCACGCCTGAATGGCCGAGCCATGCCATACGATGAACTCCAATTTCTTATCCCCACCTTCTCCATTGTTGGGTATTCCTCCGCGTTAAATATTGAATATCTATTTTCCGAGTAGTCTCGTATTCAGCTTTGAAAATTGTGTGATTATGATCCGATGCCACTACACGGTCACCTTGAAACTCCATTCGTTTGAGTCACACAGATTCATTGTGGCTGAGTAAGAATACCTTCGGGATATTATCGATATTGTAAAAAACATAATCACACATTTGTTTACTCGTACATATTTTTACTGGCTCTGTAATATTACACTCTCTTGGTGACAATTTGTATTGTTCCGAAACGAGTTATCAGTTTCTTGTCTATGTTTTTTATAGTTTACTGTAAAAAGAAGTTTATTTTCGAAGTCTGCTGGATCAGGGCATGTCAGAAAATGTGATTAAGTTAAGTGTAGTAGATC